AGACTGTGAAATCCTCACCTCAACTATAATATACACTACATGATCACTTGAAGACTGTGAAATCCTCACCTCAACTATAATATACTCTACATGATCACTTGAAGACTGTGAAATCCTCACCTCAACTATAATATACTCTACATGATCACTTGAAGACTGTGAAATCCTCACCTCAACTATAATATACTCTACATGATCACTTGAAGACTGTGAAATCCTCACCTCAACTATAATATACACTACATGATCACTTGAAGACTGTGAAATCCTCACCTCAACTATAATATACACTACACTCCATCACTTGAAGACTGTGAAATCCTCACCTCAACTATAATATACACTACATGATCACTTGAAGACTGTGAAATCCTCACCACAACTATAATATACACTACACATGATCACTTGAAGACTGTGAAATCCTCACCTCAACTATAATATACACTACATGATCACTTGAAGACTGTGAAATCCTCACCACAACTATAATATACTCTACATGATCACTTGAAGACTGTGAAATCCTCACCTCAACTATAATATACACTACATGATCACTTGAAGACTGTGAAATCCTCACCTCAACTATAATATACACTACATGATCACTTGAAGACTGTGAAATCCTCACCTCAACTATAATATACACTACATGATCACTTGAAGACTGTGAAATCCTCACCTCAACTATAATATACACTACACGATCACTTGAAGACTGTGAAATCCTCACCTCAACTATAATATACACTACATGATCACTTGAAGACTGTGAAATCCTCACCTCAACTATAATATACACTACACTTGATCACTTGAAGACTGTGAAATCCTCACCTCAACTATAATATACACTACATGATCACTTGAAGACTGTGAAATCCTCACCTCAACTATAATATACACTACATGATCACTTGAAGACTGTGAAATCCTCACCTCAACTATAATATACACTACACATGATCACTTGAAGACTGTGAAATCCTCACCTCAACTATAATATACACTACATGATCACTTGAAGACTGTGAAATCCTCACCTCAACTATAATATACTCTACATGATCACTTGAAGACTGTGAAATCCTCACCTCAACTATAATATACACTTGATCACTTGAAGACTGTGAAATCCTCACCTCAACTATAATATACACTACATGATCACTTGAAGACTGTGAAATCCTCACCTCAACTATAATATACACTACATGATCACTTGAAGACTGTGAAATCCTCACCTCAACTATAATATACACTACATGATCACTTGAAGACTGTGAAATCCTCACCTCAACTATAATATACACTACATGATCACTTGAAGACTGTGAAATCTCACCTCAACTATAATATACTCTACATGATCACTTGAAGACTGTGAAATCCTCACCTCAACTATAATATACACTACATGATCACTTGAAGACTGTGAAATCCTCACCTCAACTATAATATACACTACATGATCACTTGAAGACTGTGAAATCCTCACCTCAACTATAATATACACTACACGATCACTTGAAGACTGTGAAATCCTCACCTCAACTATAATATACACTACATGATCACTTGAAGACTGTGAAATCCTCACCACAACTATAATATACTCTACATGATCACTTGAAGACTGTGAAATCCTCACCACAACTATAATATACACTACATGATCACTTGAAGACTGTGAAATCCTCACCTCAACTATAATATACACTACACACGATCACTTGAAGACTGTGAAATCATCACCTCAACTATAATATACTCTACACGATCACTTGAAGACTGTGAAATCCTCACCTCAACTATAATATACACTACATGATCACTTGAAGACTGTGAAATCCTCACCTCAACTATAATATACACTACATGATCACTTGAAGACTGTGAAATCCTCACCTCAACTATAATATACACTACATGATCACTTGAAGACTGTGAAATCCTCACCTCAACTATAATATACTCTACATATCACTTGAAGACTGTATAATCCTCACCTCAACTATAATATACTCTACATCACTTGAAGACTGTGAAATCCTCACCTCAACTATAATATACACTACATGATCACTTGAAGACTGTGAAATCCTCACCACAACTATAATATACACTACATGATCACTTGAAGACTGTGAAATCCTCACCACAACTATAATATACACTACACTGATCACTTGAAGACTGAAATCCTCACCTCAACTATAATATACACTACATGATCACTTGAAGACTGAAAATCTCAACTATAATATACTCTACATGATCACTTGAAGACTGTGAAATCCTCACCTCAACTATAATATACTCTACACGATCACTTGAAGACTGTGAAATCCTCACCTCAACTATAATATACACTACATGATCACTTGAAGACTGTGAAATCCTCACCACAACTATAATATACACTACATGATCACTTGAAGACTGTGAAATCCTCACCTCAACTATAATATACACTACACGATCACTTGAAGACTGTGAAATCCTCACCACAACTATAATATACACTACACGATCACTTGAAGACTGTGAAATCCTCACCTCAACTATAATATACACTACACGATCACTTGAAGACTGTGAAATCCTCACCACAACTATAATATACTCTACATGATCACTTGAAGACTGTGAAATCCTCACCTCAACTATAATATACACTACACGATCACTTGAAGACTGTGAAATCCTCACCTCAACTATAATATACTATCAAAGACTAAATACTCTATAATATACACTACACGATCACTTGAAGACTGTGAAATCCTCACCTCAACTTTAATATACTCTACATGATCACTTGAAGACAACTGTGAAATCCTCACCACAACTATAATATACTCTACATGATTCAGTCTTCAGAAGATCAGTTTTGATAATTTTTGGCAAACATAGCGTGGTTTCAGGAGCAAAACCTAGGCAGTGGGTAGCTCAGTGGTTAAAGCATTTGCTTGTTACCCTGAAGATCCGGGTTTGATTCCCCCCACATGGGATCAATGTGTGAAGCCCATTTCTGGTGACTCTCACTATGATTTTGCAGGAATATTGCCAAATTTGGCATAAAACGTTATTTACTCATTCTGGGAACCAAACCTAACACCCCAAAGTATGGACAATGTTATTCTTCCATTCACAAGGATAGAATGTCACCTCCGTGGAAGGTCACCGTATCTCTGAGCCATTACTATTGTTGACTTTCATTGTCCACAGTAACACAAGGTGTCTAGTCTTAATGCTGTATTTGTAAGCAGACTGGGAATGTGTCATCTGTACTGAGATGAATGCCTAAGCGCTACTCGCATAATTCAAACTGGTACATCTAAACTCAGTCTGTGATTTGCAGACTTTGAAAAATGTTTCTGCCTGAAACAGGAATGATCAGCCACTGCACCAGGCTTCCTAGGTCAACAAGACAAATCCATGTTTGAATAATCAGAAACCTAAGGCAATCAGAGTTTGATTGTGCCAGGCCCCCAGAGTACAGGTTGCTGACCAACAGTCATCTCTTAATGCAGGTAATCTGCATGCTTGGTGACCACATGTTGTACCACCAGTAACAAATCACCAACTTCTAGACCGACACTATTGGTGTTTAGAGCATGGAAACTATGAGCATTGCTAGTGGTCTTGTGTAATGTTGTGAGTTGGCGTCTGAACTTTATGGATAGGCTTGGACATGACTGAGCTGAATGGCAGATGTAGGCTGGGTCTGTAATGATGTCACTGACTGCTAGAGAGCAGCTGCATATTGTCCATGGATGGGCCACTGGAAGTCCTACAGAGACCGTCTACTGGTGCTTGTAGTTGTGTCAATAGCACACCATGCTGGTCCATGTTTCGTCTGTCAAGACAGGTATCATAATTGATTATCTCCAGCAACAAAACATAACCTGAATGTAATGACCTCATTGAGATCTGACTTCCCTCATGAAGCACGTCTGTAACATGACCAAACCTCAGATGTGTATCTTGATGTCAAAGGAAATGCCAGTGTTGAATTGGGCCAAGCGCCACAAGAGGTGATGACAAGATTTCCTCAAATTGTCATAGGCTTATGTTATGTGACCATGTGTTGGAGCAATTGTCATGTTATACCTGGTCCTTCCATTCTGACTTATCCATCCATTGCCCCTCATTTGATACCTCTTTGCTATGTGTAATCTTCTAGTATTCTCTACTGGCCGGTTTATGGAGACTATATTTAGGTAGCTTCTTAGCCAAGTCCTGTTGACATGATTAAACCTTTGTGTTCCAGTGATGACATTCATCACTTTGTTACTTGCTACTAACATCAGCACCATATATCATTATTACATATATAATAATCTCAGCTCGGCATTAGGAACACCAGCACATTGCCTTGTTTCAGCCGTACTGAATCAGCTCCATCGGCTGAATCAAGCTGTACTGCAGTGTTAAGAACACCTTGTGCACAGCACAACTCACACTGAATATCACACTTGATACATCATCAGATTGGAGGACAAAATACCGCTAACTTTTCCAGAATACAGTATTGTGATCAATTTTTGGAATTCTTTTTAGAAATGTTTCTTTACCATGCCAGTTACATGGTGGTGTTGTGTGTGCAGGTGGCTGGGTGCCTGTAGTTTGGTTGACAGTTTACACACAGTTACATCCATCTGTCCAGCACTCTTCGGTGGATTGGGTCATAGGTTATTGAGGATGTAAGTTGTCATGACTTTGTAGACAAAATAAGCAACTTCAATACAAAACAAATCAGAAATATGTGGACGTTATCTCCTCAGCACATTTGTCCAAATGCCTATTTATTTGCAGTGATTTTTGAACTTTGTATCTATACTTGTCACAACATTTGTGTACATTGCTGCTTTAATCCTTGACACATATCGTAGATGATCTGTCTGCATGATCTTGTCTGTATCTGTTACCATGGTTACTTGTCTGTACATTCCAACAGAAGAGAAAATTACCTTACTGCCTTTTTATTACAGGTGTTTGTGACAGGGGGAGACAACCAGGAAGAGTTCTACAGACAGGTGAGTTCCAACATGCCAGCTGTGAGTGAGTGAGGTTTGTTTTACACTGTATTTAGCAATATTCCAGCAATATCATGGCGGGGACATCAGAAATGGGCTTCACACAATGCACACATTTGGGGAATGGAACCCGGGTCTTCGGCGTGACGAGTGAACGCTTTAACCACTAGGCTACCCTATCGCCCCACATGCCACTTGTACCTGTCTTTTTGAGGTTTCTGCCGGTGAACTTGAGTTAATGAACTTGACAGAACTTCCTGTGAGATAATGCAATCGTGAGATATTATCCATCCTCACAGTAAAAGGTGCCCATGAGAAAACACCCCAGTGAAGGCAGGGCCATACATTGACAGAGGTCAATACTGTGGCGGACCTGAATGATTCCTGGCAAAGGAAAGTGCCAACTCAATATATGTGTGTGTGAGTGTCGTTATGTTTGACAGTCCAAGTCTTTGGTCTTCATTGCATGGAGTTTGTGATGACAAGCTTTAAGAGTTGCCTATCAGTTAATTGTGAACTGATTGTGTGAACAGCTGAATGGAGATTTAGGATGAGCTTTTTCATGCATGTATGTCTGGATTTAGGCAACAGAAAAAATTGTATACTCTAAATTGGAGTTACCGGTACTTAAGATTAGTCATTTGTAATTTGAGCTTTCAATGTGAACAGAAATCAGTTGTTTCATATTGTATTCCAATCAAAGGAATTGGAAACCTGACATTTCCTTACAGAATATTTGCATATGAAATTTCTATGTCCGACAATATTGTATATTTTTGCTTAACATATTTTTTTAGATGTAATATAAAAGGTTTTCCCTGATACTAAACATCTTGGATGTGTTTTATTCTTGTGTTGGAACATAGGAGGCTCAAGCAGCACAGGTAGGCTAGGACGATATGTAGGACGTCTTGTGTCAGTGTGTGGAAATATCTCTTTGTGTTGCATTCTTTGTTGACATTTTCATCCAGTATTCACTTCAGCTTTTTAGCATTTTGGTATTTGCATGTAAAAATAAATATTAGTACTTCAGATGTTTCCTGTCTATTCTAGTTTTCGTTTTCACTTCTTACACTAATACAATAGTGTGCCATTTCCTGAAAGAGTCTTTTTTAGAAAAAAGGTTACTACAGTATTTAAAAGTGTTTAGTATTATTATTACTTCTCAGTAGTTACAAATGTGATTATTGTCCATTGGATGTAGCGTGGACAATTGGACTGTCAGTCTATCAGAAGCTGGTTTACTCCAGATCTCAATCACTAACTTGATATTTCTTCACCAGAACACTCACACCTGTGTCACCCTGGTGGGGATATGTGGTGCAGAATTAGTCATTCAAATAGAGCCAATTAACATATATAGTGTGAAGTTCAGAGTTGAACTTGTTTCAGGAATGTCTTAGTAAATTATATGTATCATTCCCTGTATCAGATGTAAATTGGATTGCCCTGCTGATTGGAACACTACTGAAAGAGACGTAAAGCCTACAGACCTCTTACTCACCAGTTTTCAGTGATTAGAAAGTTGATAGATATTAACCCTTTTCATTTTGCTTTTGCTGTGTATTATGATATATCTATCAGATTTGCAGTGTCATTTTTATTGGTGTGTTTTCTTATGTGTAATAATAATCATTCACCAAGTCCAGTGTGCACATTCAATGACAGGTTGTTGGTGCATGGGTGTATGTACATTACATGCATGACATGTTGTTATTGTTGTTGTCCCAGTTGTAATGTTCATATTTTTCACCTTGTCATTCATTCAATTACATTTGGGTTCTTGGCAAAATCAGTCAGTAAATCATAAAAGTTCTGCTTAAAAGTTTATAAGTTTCCTTATAGCTTTTCAAAAGATTAGATTGCAGTTATGACTTTTAAAAACATGGATTTTGTAATAAATGTTAAAATGGCTGTTTTATTTTAGAACTTACTGATCATGTTCAAAGAACTTTATTTTCTGGGTTTCACTTTAAAAATACAAATTGAAAGGTTTCAGGTTCATTTGGAAATCTATCATCATTTTGTTTTGTTCAGGATTAGATAATGATTTTTGTGCCACGTCAGGAGAGAAATGTACTGTGTCTCCCAGGAACAGAAATGAATGCATGTTGATAGATACCACACATGCATTTAGAAGTAGGTTGATTGAAGTGTAAGAGTAGGCAGGAGAGAGTAAAGGTATTACACAAGCTACAAGCAGATATAGATAAATATGTTTGTTGTACACACAGGAAGAGAATACATTTTGTTGCACACACATGCAGAAAAATATGTTGGTTGTACAGAAATGGTACAAAATGAGTTCCTTGCTCATGCCCTAAGGGAAATAAGATTTTGAACACACTTGAAGGAAGGAAGTTTGTTGCACACATGATGTGTATTGCCTGACCTTGCTGTGGCAGATGTACCTGCTGCGGAAGTACGCATCTCACCACATCCCTACTGCCACCCGGCGCTTCTACATCTGCAGCCTCCATCATGAGATCATCGTGTACAAGGTAAGTGGATCACTGTGTCTGAATATACCCTTGTGAAGTGGTCACTTAGATGACAGGTGATGCTCTCATTAAGGGTGAACTATTCTAATACCTAGCTGTTGCTATTGATATTTTATCAGGATTTCGCTGTCTGCTTGTTCTTGTTAAACATTGTTGTTGAAATATTTACACATGCAGCAAAGAGTTGATCCATCTTTGGGAATGTATAACTCTGGTCTGAGTATTTTGGGTACAGGTGTTATGTAGACTGGACCAAGAGTCCCATGAATAGCAGGAGATGTCAGTGTGATGTCCAGTTGTTTACCTCATGTAGACAGAACAGTACTGAGGTGATCCATGCTGACTCCTTTTTGTCTGACATCCAGGGTCTTCTGAGCACAGACCAGCTGTGGAAGTACTACTACGACTTGACAGACCCCGACTTCGAGACCCACATTGCCCTCATCCACAGTCGCTTCTCCACCAACACCTTCCCCAGCTGGGAGCGGGCACACCCACAGAGGTATGTATGTCCTGTCTCACCCTGTGTACTGGTGACACCCACTTACTGTGGTGGTAAGTTAAGACCAGTGATGGGGTCCCCCACTTACTGGGGTGGTACGTTAAGACCAGTGTTGGGGTCCCCCACTTACTGTGGTGGTACGTTAAGACCAGTGTTGGGGTCCCCCACTTACTGTGGTGGTATGCGTGACCAGTGTTGGGGTCCCCACTTACTGTGGTGGTAAGTTAAGACCAGTGTTGGGGTCCCCCACTTACTGTGGTGGTAAGTTAAGACCAGTGTTGGGGTCCCCCACTTACTGTGGTGGTAAGTTAAGACCAGTGTTGGGGTCCCCCACTTACTGTGGTGGTAAGTTAAGACCAGTGTTGGGGTCCCCCACTTACTGTGAGTGGTTAAGACCAGTGTTGGGGTCCCCCACTTACTGTGGTGGTAAGTTAAGACCAGTGTTGGGGTCCCCCACTTACTGTGGTGGTAAGTTAAGACCAGTGTTGGGGTCCCCCACTTACTGTGGTGGTAAGTTAAGACCAGTGTTTGGGTCCCCCACTTACTGTGGTGGTACGTTAAGACCAGTGTTGGGGTCCCCCACTTACTGTGGTGGTAAGTTAAGGCCAGTTTGTTCCAGCAAATGGTTGATGATCCTGACATATTCTGTGTCGTGTTGCTAACATGTCCCACTGCCCTGCCCAGATACCTGGCCCACAATGGAGAGATCAACACCCTGCGTGGCAACGTCAACCTGATGAAGGCCAGGGAGGGGGTGATGAACAGCCAGGTGTATGGGGACAAGCTGAAGATGGTCTACCCCGTGGTGGAGGAGGGCATGTCCGACTCCGGCTGTGTCGACAACGTCCTGGAGTTTCTCTGCATGGCTGGAGGCAGGTCCCTCCCAGAGGTCAGTAAACCACATACTATGTCCTCCCATTGTTTAACATTTCTCTGTTGGAGATTCATCCAGGAGTAAAATATTGTTTTAATCTAAACTTAACAGATGAGGGATTTCCAAACTATTCATTGCTAAATGATATCGACTGAATAAGCACAACTTTAAGTGTTTTTAGAATACAGCCTTGTGACAAATGTTTTCAAAGACCTGATTTCACTTCAATTAACTGTGACATATTGGTTCTATTGTGTACACTTTCGTGAATCTTTACTGGGAGAATTCTACACAAAATCTTGTCCCCAGGCTGTGATGACCATGGTGCCAGAGGCATGGCAGAATGACAAGAACATGGGCATGGACAAGAAGGCTTTCTATAGGTGGAGCGCCTTTGCCATGGAACCCTGGGATGGACCTGGTAGGCATATTTAGAAGATTGTATTATTCACAAAGAAATGCTATTAACGTATGCTTTGTTTTAATGCTGATGCCCCACATGGATACAATGTGTGAAGCCCATTTCTGGTGTCCCTCGCTGTTATATTGATCAAATATAGCTAAAAGCAGCGTAAACACATACTCAAACACTTTAATGCTAATGAAAATAGAAGCGATTGTTTACTCACTTCATCTGAACAAACTGTAGTTGCTGGACTTCCCTGTAGTTGCTGTAGTTTAGTTTTCTGACTTGTCTACTACAGCTCTGCTCACATTCACTGATGGACGATACATTGGAGCCATTCTTGATCGCAACGGCCTGCGTCCATCTCGGTTCTACGTGACTAAAGATAACTTCATGTACATGTCCAGTGAGGTGGGCGTCACCAACAGATTGCCAAGTGAGGTCATTCAGAAGGTGAGATGACAGGAATTTCTGAACTAGAGTAGATGCAGGATGCTTTATTTTGCCTCCTTGGTGATACTGACTGCCCTGCAAGCAGACGACTGTATAGTTTACCTTGAGATATCCCTCCCTCCTGCTTGCTTCATCATTGATTTATCTTGTCAAACTAGTCACACTTTGATGCTGGTTGTCCAAGTTGATTGAATATGTTCCTTAAATATATTTCTGTCCTGTATTGCTGCATACAGGTCAGATTGTAATTATTTCTCGGAAAACTGTTAAAATGGGGTTTTCTGGGGCTTGATCTGATCCATATTTGTGGTCTTGTTGGAGATGACCAGATTGCCAGAGATAAGTATTCAGTCAAATGAGATGGTGATTTCTTCCAACAAGGATTGTATGACTCCTCTGATTAGCATCCTCCTCCTTCCCAGGGTCGACTGAAGCCAGGACGTATGTTGCTGGTGGACACAAAGGAGAAAGTCTTCATGAAGGACGAAGTCCTCAAGTCACAGATTTGCTCCATCAGACCAGTGGGCAAGTGGTTGTCCGAGGTAAGCGAGACCTGTGGAAAAGTGGTGGTCCAAGATGAGCACAGTCACACAAGCTGCAATTGGAAAAGTTTGCAGATGAGCGTCACACAAGCTGCCATTTGGTTTGCAGACTTGTTCCCCTTGGTGTCTGAATCTGTAAATTGAGAGTTAGGTGCTCAGATTTGCTGTTATCTTCGTCAGCATTCAACCGTTGGTCCTGAGAAATGTTGGCATTTTCTTCATGGATTGAGCTGACATGTCTTGAAATATTTTTCAGTGCAGTTCAAACCATACTGATTATTGAAATGAAGATTTACAGTGTCTAAGATTACTTTGAAGTTGGTTTATTAGTTTGGCATTATCCAGAATATGCCACAATAAGGCAGTTACTTTGTGAATGATTCCACTATTCACTCCCCTTGCAGACTATATCTATGGCCGAGCTGCAGAGGTCTTACAACTCAGGCAGCCTTGACCCCCCTGAGGTCGAGCGGCATGACCTTGGCCGCGGGAGCGGGAGCTGTGTGGAGGAGGATTCTCGACTGCCGATGTTTGGCTACACCATTGAGGCTCTCAACATGTTGGTCCTGCCCATGATCAGGGACAAGTAAGTGTCCTATGGCAGCTGCAGCTGTGCTAACTTCATCTTGGTACGACAGTTTAGTTATTACCACACACTGTTTGCTCTACCATCCATGTTTTGCTATCTGTGGGTAACTAGTATAGACACTTCTAGACCACTACCCATAGTTAAGGCCTTTCCCCAGTTCTGCCCCCACAGACTCCCCAAGACAGGTCAAATTTGGTGGAACTTCGTTTGATGTCATGAACATAAATTTGTGTAAAAATGCCAATTGGTAGAAAAAATGGGCGGCTCCTACATAGATAGTTTATGTCACCAGCATAACTTTATTTCAATGAAGCAATTTATTGTTATTGTTATTTATTGGTATTAAAATGGACTCCTTCCGTGCGTGCGTGCGTCCATCCGTCCGTGCACATTTGTCTTTTCCGGAGCACAACTCTAAAACCGTTTAATATTTCTTCACCAAACTTGGCACATACATGGATCTGGTGGTGTACTGGTGCCTTTTAGTAGTTTTGGAATTCTGAATAAAATATTTTTGGTGTTTCCATGGCAACAAGTTCGACTTTGACTGAAATTGGTGGTTGTGCTCTTTTCCGGAGCAGAACTCTAAAACTGTTCACTATTTCTTCACCAAACTTGGCACATAGATTGGTCTGGTGGTGTACTGGTGTCTTTTGGTAGTTTTGGATTTCTGAATAAAATATTTTTGGCATTTCCATGGCAACAAGTTTGACTTAGACTGAAATTGGTGATAGTGCTCCTTGCTGGAGCAGAACTTTATAAACCTCTCAATACTCTCCTTCCACTTTTCTATATACACACCTAAATATTTGACATAATCATAACTCGTAGACATAATCATGAAGAGTATTTTGCCATTGCGGGGGATATTGATGACTTTGTCTCCTTGTTAATCTCCTATTGGTCATGTATGAGTTTGCATTGGGACCAAGGTTAAAGCAGGTGTCTAACAGGTTATTGCTGGTCATAATAGGTGAGTCACTTTGGGACTTGTCAGAGTATGTCACTGCTTTGTCCAGATACATCTTTTTGCAGACTGCCATGGTAGAGCTGGAATACTGGTGGCTGTAGTAGAACAAAACTCCCTAACTTATTTTTACTGGAGAGTGACTGTACACAAACTTCTCCTTCAGGAAAGAAGCTCTTGGTTCAATGGGAAACGATGCTCCCCTGGCTTGCCTGTCCCGCTTCAACCCACTTGTGTTTGAGTACTTCAAGCAGCTGTTTGCCCAGGTCACCAACCCTCCCATTGACCCCTTCAGGGAGAAAATCGTCATGTCACTTGTAGGTTCACTCTTTGTTTTTTATCTTTTTTCAGAATTTAATCTACTGAACTTATTTGATATAAACCCTTCTGTTGCCATTAGTAACCTTGACCTGTGACCTGTTGCAGGCATGCCCTGTGGGTCCGGAGGCGAACATCCTGGAACCGAGCGCAGAGCAGTGCCAGCGACTGTGGCTGGAGCAGCCCATCCTCTCACTGTGGGACATGGAGGTGCTGAGGAACTGCAACCACAAGGGGTGGAAGGTAAGGGGCCAGAGCAGGTGTTGTCACAGGAGCTGGTATAAAGATATACAGGCAGTATCACAGCACATTCCTTCATGTTGACAATGGGACGATTTGATCACGAATACAAGCAGTCACTAATTTGATGTGGAGTAATCTGTGATCAATGGTCATTAAACATCTCAAAAGAGACATATAGTTTTGTCAATATTGTGGTAAAATCAATATGCATTTATCAAATAATCATATTCAACAGTTGCACTGGATCGTCACACAATGTTGGAAACAATCTATTTATGCAATAGATGGTTTATTGTGCAGATGCTCACATGTAATTTTGTGTGTCAGACCAAGGTGATCGACATGGTGTTCCCAGTTGAGGCAGGCCCGGACGGACTTCTACCAGCCCTCAATTCAGTGTGTGAGCAGGCAGCCACAGCAGCAGACGGCGACTACAAGCTCATTGTCCTTTGTCAGACAGGAATGGCACTAAAAGGTGGGGCTCCCACTTTGTTCCGGTCAGGTAATGGTGATACTTAAAACTAAAGGGACTGGTCATTTATTATAAAGGGCAAGAGATTAAGGGCAGAGGGCCATGAAAAAATGATGCTGCAAAAGAAGGGTTATCAAAATTCGTCATAACTATTTGAATGCAGTGCTATTTTTTCAAATATAAAGTTGCCAACTTGAACATAAGTTAAGCATTGGAAATTTAATTGGGATCAGCATGCCCAATCGTTATGTTTTCATTATGAAAAGTTGGACTATACTGAAAATAAGACGATATCCAGCAGCAATGAACCAAAAGTTGGGAATTTCGAATTTCGATTGGGGAAATGTGTAACCTCCTGATGAACTTTGTTACAGGTAGAGTAGGTGGGTGTCATAAAACATGTTACAAACTATGAGACTATGAGTCCTATGATCAATCTGATCAATTGAGAAATTTTGTTGAAAAATTGCTTCAGGAATTATAACCAAATATACTCAAATAATTTTAACCAATGTAAAACAACTCAAACTCTAGAAACCATGTAGGTTCAACTGGTACTGGTATGTATCAACAAGCTGTGTGTGGTGATGGAGTATGTTGTGTCTTGCAGCTCGCTGCTGGCAGTGGGTGCAGTCCATCACTACCTGATTGACCGCAAACTCCGAATGAAGGTTGGACTTATTGTAGAGACAGGGGAAGCAAGGTAAGAGGTCGTCAGGGTAGATAACTATTAAAACATACTCTCTGGAACAGTTTCCTTAACTTATTATGATGACAGTACTGCCCATTGTATGTTTTCACAGTAGTAGATAAGTAGAGTAGATATTTCAAAAGGAAAGTAGGTTTCAATACTTGCTGTATACCAGTGGTCATTGCTGAGTAAACACTTTTCACTGGTTACAGACTGTGTTGTTTGTGACTGAAAGTTTCTTCTCATCAGAGAGTCTCAGTTTTTGAAGTATTCAAGACTTTTGTTAATTTGAGAATTTTGACTGTTCTAATAAGTAGGGTTAGCAGGGCTTCATTCATTGTTCTGCCTCCACAGAGAGGTGCACCACCTGTGTACACTGCTTGGCTATGGTGTGGATGCCATCTGCCCCTACCTGGTGTTTGAGACAGTGCGGCGGCTGAGGGAACAGGGCATCCTGGACCCCCCACTAGCGGATGAGGAGATCTACATGAACTTCCGGGCTGCATGTGCTCGGGGCATCTCCAAGGTGATGGCCAAGATGGGGATCTCCACTCTACACAGCTACAAGGTATGTGAGAGTTATCTGCCCTAAGTCTATGCATTAGCAGGAAGTGAGATGATGGTGGTTAAATGGATTTTCTATTGTGGTACGTAGGTCTTCCAGAGTAGCCCTACCTAATTTATTACATTATTAAGAAGTCCCAGACAAATACTCATTTACAGTTTTTGGAGATGTACCAACCCATATAGTGGTCCCCTATAGTGCAAGGTTTGTATCCTGGTCAGCTGCCTTAACAGTAATGGAGTGTTATGTTGTGAGAGTTGTTAAACGCTAAATGCTCACCGAGGGTTCAAATGGTTGTATTTCAGGGGGCCCAGATCTTTGAGGCAGTTGGTCTGGACAAAGAGGTCATTGACCGTTGCTTTGAGGGAACAGCCTCCAGGATTGGGGGTGCCAACTTTAAGGTGCTAGCTACAGAGGTAAGGTTACACTGAGTCATGATCCCATTGTAAATGTAGGAGGTTCATGTTAAACGATGTGAGAGGGAGAGGGCCTGGAACTAGGAGTGGTTGTACATGTTCTCCCATTTTTCATTGATACAACTTATAGTTCCTCAGTCACTATGTAATTCAGTAAGAAATGGTACATATTTTTAAACTCTTTTACTCTAGCATATACTTGCATTCTCCTAGATATGTGATGTTGTTTTGTGTGGTAGTGGATCTAACTTTCAATCATGTGTTCTCCAGCTATTGAACCGTCACTCTGTTGCCTACAAGTCTCGAGACTGTGACAACATCATCGTGGCTGATCCTGGCTTCTACCACTGGAGAGATGGGGGTGAGAAACACATGAACGACCCCCTCACCATTGCCAATCTACAGGTAAGTCAGCTGGTGTTGTCCCCTTCATGTTCACATCAACTGTCCTCATCTACCGACTCTCCAGCTAGTAGCACAGGTTGTGTAGTCAGATGACAAGTATTATGTTCTGTGGTAACAGGAGGCCGTGAAGACCGATAACAAGGATGCCTACGCTCGCTTTGTGGAATCATCCAAGAAGTCGTCCCAGCAGTGTGCCCTCCGTGGGCAAGTGGACTTTGTCTTCTCTGACCACCCACTGGACATTGCTGAAGTGGAGGAGGCAAAGTTCATCGTCCGCAGATTCTGCACAGGTGTGCATGTTGTGATCATTATTTGTCTTTGTTGATACGGTAAACTTGTCGTTTTCTGGGTTACATATTGTTTACTGTGTATGCATGATGTCAGTATTTGTACAAAATTGTAGATAAAATGTTGAGTTTTAAGTGCATCACAATATTTGACCAGCGCATAAAAACTGTTAAAGAGTGCATGTCTGGGACTTTATTCAATAATATGTAATAAATTAGGTGTCCCCTGCCATGAACTAATCTGGAAGACCTATTCTCCACTTGCATGGACAGCATGTTTATTGAAAATAAGTTCAAGATGGTGTTATTCTTACACATTTACTCGGTCATATACTTTTTCTATATAGAAAAGGGGCGGTGGGGTAGCCAAGTGGGTAAAGCATTGGCTCATCACGCCGAAGACCCGGGTTCAATTCCCCACATGGGTACAATGTGTGAAGCCCATTTCTGGTGTCCCCGCGCTGTGATGTTGCTGGAATATTGCTAAAAGTGGCATAAAACCAACCTCACTCACTCACTCACTCACTATATAGAAAATATGTCCAAATCTTTTAGCAGGAATATCTATCCAGCTCATGTTGTTACTAGGTGTCAACAATGCTTTTAGCAATGAGAGTTTCAGCTGACCAAATACTGTGTGTTTTTCTTGGATTCATTGAAATGTATTTAATATAATGTTGTGACATTAGGGGCCATGAGTTTTGGGAGTATCTCCTATGAGGCCCACACCACGCTGGCTATGGCCATGAACAGAATAGGAGCCAAGTCGAACACTGGGGAGGGAGGGGAGAACCCAGACAGGTACCTCAACGAGGACCCACAGTTCAACGCCAGGTCCAAGATCAAACAGGTAGGTGTTCATCAAGTCTAATTATCATTAATCATCAAACAAAACACTGTATATTTCATGACAGATTTGGACCGCCTCCGTGGTGTAAAAGTCCGCCGACACATACCAAAAGAGCGTTAAAATATGGTACTTGTTGGTTCCTGCCTGGCCGGCATTAATGGGTACAACAAGGACTGGTCGGCTCTGAGTCAGTATAATGTGTCTGAGTGGGGTATTCATGCTTCACTGCCGCATGGTATCTCAGTGGGCTAGCACTATAAAACCAGCCTAAGTCTGGGCTCGTACAAGCAGCCACACATACACATACACACACATGCACGTCGTCATATGAGCGAAATATTCTCAAGCACGACGTTAAACCCAATTTCACCTCACCTCACCTCATGACAGATTTTTGGAAATATACACAAATATATGCAGCAGATGTAGGTATATGATCTGTTTGTTTTTGCAGGTTGCATCAGGGAGGTTTGGTGTGACGAGTTCCTATCTCGCTCACGCTGATGAGCTTCAGATCAAGATGGCTCAGGGAGCCAAGCCAGGCGAGGGTGGAGAGTTGCCAGGCTACAAGGTCAGTGTCTGAAGTGAGGGAACATGATGCGTAACAGTTATAATACACAGTGTTGTCTGGTGGATGTTCTTCACTATCACACCATGCTTTTATGGCAAAGATTTAAAGCTTTTTCACATTTTAGGATGTTCTTATCAATTCTTTATTTTCTAAGATTATAACATGTTTCTGTCATGGTGATTAGTGGATTTATTACCTGTTTCAGGTGACGAAGGACATTGCCCGCACACGTCACTCTATCCCCGGGGTGGGTCTGATCAGCCCTCCCCCTCATCACGACATCTACTCCATTGAGGATCTGGCAGAGGTGTGTGCACGTTAATCATTACTGAAATTGGATTAAGCACTGACAGGTGGTTCTGTTTGTAGTTGATCTGTAACCAGAAATTTAATGAGTCTGTGATGTGTATCATTTTGGAGCAGATCTGTGATGTGTGTTTCTGTCTGTAGTTGATCCATGACCTGAAGGCTGCCAATCCCGATGCCCGCATCAGTGTCAAGCTGGTGTCCGAGATGGGAGTGGGTATTGTTGCATCAGGGGTTGCCAAGGTGAGGGTCATGGTTATACATCAGAGACCAACTGATAACATCAGATATACATTATCTTAAGCTTTATTTTAACACTCTGTGTTACATGAAATAACCAACTGACAACAGAAAATCATGATTTCCTAACTTACTTCAATGAATTTTTGTAAGGTAAAAACTTGACCATCCCCAACCACTGGACAAGTTTTGATCAAACATTTCTTTTACTGAAAAATGGTAAGCTAATCCTCATTTATGTTTTATAAAACAAAAACAAAACATTCTAATATAATTAAGAAAGAAACTTTCTGATGACAACGTACATCCTAAGAATGTAAACACAAGCAGAGGAGTACCTGTAGCTACATGTGTCTTGTCCAGGGCAAGGCTGAGCATATCACTATCTCTGGACACGATGGCGGCACTGGCGCCAGTAGCTGGACCGGAATCAAGAATGCTGGGCTACCGTGGGAGCTTGGGATCTCCGAGACTCACCAGACCCTGGTCCTCAATGATCTCAGGTCAAGGGTCGTGCTACAGGCAGACGGTCAGATTAGATCAGGTGAGAAATGAAGGAATGGTATTTTGACAAAAGAGTAAAATGCATTAGCAGAAACTAAAGGATGTACACTATGATTCTGAAAGTCAGACCTATAATCTAAGGCATTATGTTTGTCATGTGTGATTCTGAAAGTCTGACCTATAAGCTGAGGCATTATGTTTGTCATGTGTGATTCTGAAAGTCAGACCTATAAGCTAAGGCATTATGTTTGCCATGTGTGATTCTGAAAGTCAGACCTATAAGCTAAGGCATTAAGCTGGGTGATTCTGAAAGTCAGACCTATAAGCTAAGGCATTATGCCATGTGTGATTCTGAAAGTCAGACCTATAAGCTAAGGCATTATGTTTGTCATGTGTGATTCTGAAAGTCTGACCTATAAGCTAAGGCATTATGTTTGTCAGTGTGATTCAAAGTTACCTTAAGCTAAGGCATTATGTTTGTCATGTGATTCTGAAAGTCAGACCTATAAGCTGAGGCATTATGTTTGCCATGTGTGATTCTGAAAGTCAGACCTATAAGCTCTAAGGCATTATGTTTGTCATGTGTGATTCTGAAAGTCAGACCTATAAGCTGAGGCATTATGTTATGTTGTGTGATTCTGAAAGTCTAAGGCATTATGTTTGTCATGTGTGATTCTGAAAGTCAGACCTATAAGCTAAGGCATTATGTTTGTCATGTGTGATTCTGAAAGTCAGACCTATAAGCTAAGGCATTATGTTTGTCATGTGTGATTCTGAAAGTCAGACCTATAAGCTAAGGCATTATGTTTGTCATGTGTGATTCTGAAAGTCAGACCTATAAGCTGAGGCATTATGTTTGTCATGTGTGATTCTGAAAGTCAGACCTATAAGCTGAGGCATTATGTTTGTCATGTGTGTGATTCTGAAAGTCAGACCTATAAGCTAAGGCATTATGTTTGTCATGTGTGATTCTGAAAGTCAGACCTATAAGCTAAGGCATTATGTTTGCCATGTGTGATTCTGAAAGTCAGACCTATAAGCTGAGGCATTATGTTTGTCATGTGTGATTCTGAAAGTCAGACCTATAAGCTGAGGCATTATGTTCGCCATGTGTGATTCTGAAAGTCAGACCTATAAGCTAAGGCATTATGTTTGTCATGTGTGATTCTGAAAGTCAGACCTATAAGCTAAGGCATTATGTTTGTCATGTGTGATTCTGAAAGTCAGACCTATAATCTAAGGCATTATGTTTGTCATGTGTGATTCTGAAAGTCAGACCTATAAGCTAAGGCATTATGTTTGTCATGTGTGATTCTGAAAGTCAGACCTATAAGCTAAGGCATTATGTTTGCCATGTGTGATTCTGAAAGTCAGACCTATAAGCTAAGGCATTATGTTCGTCATGTGTGATTCTGAAAGTCAGACCTATAAGCTGAGGCATTATGTTAAGCCATGTGTGATTCTGAAAGTCAGACCTATAAGCTGAGGCATTATGTTAGTCATGTGTGATTCTGAAAGTCAGACCTATAAGCTGAGGCATTATGTTCGCCATGTGTGATTCTGAAAGTCAGACCTATAAGCTAAGGCATTATGTTGTCATGTGTGATTCTGAAAGTCAGACCTATAAGCTGAGGCATTATGTTAATGTGTGTGTGATTCTGAAAGTCAGACCTATAAGCTAAGGCATTATGTTCGCCATGTGTGATTCTGAAAGTCAGACCTATGAGCTAAGGCATTATGTTAGGTCATGTGTGATTCTGAAAGTCAGACCTATAAGCTAAGGCATTATGTTTGTCATGTGTGATTCTGAAAGTCAGACCTATAAGCTGAGGCATTATGTTTGTCATGTGTGATTCTGAAAGTCAGACCTATAAGCTGAGGCATTATGTTCGTCATGTGTGATTCTGAAAGTCAGACCTATAAGCTGAGGCATTATGTTTGTCATGTGTGATTCTGAAAGTCAGACCTATAAGCTGAGGCATTATGTTTGTCATGTGTGATTCTGAAAGTCAGACCTATAAGCTGAGGCATTATGTTCGCCATGTGTGATTCTGAAAGTCAGACCTATAAGCTAAGGCATTATGTTCGTCATGTGTGATTCTGAAAGTCAGACCTATAAGCTAAGGCATTATGTTTGTCATGTGTGATTCTGAAAGTCAGACCTATGAGCTAAGGCATTATGTTCGTCATGTGTGATTCTGAAAGTCAGACCTATAAGCTAAGGCATTATGTTTGTCATGTGTGATTCTGAAAGTCAGACCTATAAGCTGAGGCGTTATGTTTGTCATGTGTGATTCTGAAAGTCTGACCTATAAGCTGAGGCATTATGTTCGCCATGTGTTTCAGGAAGAGATGTTCTGATTGCTGCCATGTTAGGAGCAGATGAGTTCGGCTTCAGTACAGCTCCACTCATAGCACTTGGCTGCACCATGATGAGAAAATGCCACCTTAACACCTGCCCAGTTGGCATAGCAACACAGGTAGGGCTATACAGTTTAAGAACAATTTGTCTTGATTCTGTTTGCTGACAGCTTACTGAAAGATGTTTAGGACAATACAGGAGCACTCACTGTAAGCTGTATGGCCTGCAGCATCCTGTCAGTTCATGACTGGAACAGTTCAACTTCATATACATGGAGAACAATGGTGGTTTAGGTGAGCTACAGGATCATCTGTAACATGTTTGTGGATGGTTTAAACTGTTGTTATGTTCCAGGACCCTGTGTTGAGGGCCAAGTTTGCTGGGAAGCCGGAGTACGTTGTCAACTTCCTGTTCCTGTTGGCTGAGGAGGTGAGTCACGCAGCTAGTCCAACTGTTATGTATGTGTAATGTACTTGAGATAAGCTGACAATCATATATTTGTAAGGAATGGTATATCTCATGTCTCAGTAACTCATAGTCAGTAGGAATAGGAATGAATGATCATATATGAACAAGGTATTTTTAACTACATATTGCCACTGTTACTGATTACACTGGTTGGGTAGTGATCTTTGCTATACCATTGAAGAGCTGGACATCTCTCTATCATATTGGAGGTATTTTATGAACTGGACTAAAACCTCCTTTTGTGTTAACCCAGGTGCGTGAGTTGATGGCCAAGATTGGTGTGAGGACCATTCAGGAGTTGATCGGACGCACAGACAAGTTGAAGTTCAGTCCAGACCCAGAGAACCCCAAGGCTCAGCTTCTGGACTTCTCCAAGATTCTGAAGAATGCCCTTGAAATCCGACCTGGCGTCAGCATCCAAGGGGAACTGTCAAACAGCTGTTTGGCTTTGAGAAGAGGCTGGTAGGTCTCCTGTCCTGAAGCTGTTCAAGATAGGGTCATCTGTTTTATTATCTTTATATTTTCCTGGAGCCAACTCAATCAACACAATTATTTTAAGGCTGTCCAATGTTTACCAGGGCACCAACTGGAGACACAACACATGAATTGAATCCTACAATACAAGTCTGTGACACTGAATGGCATGTTCAGTAATAAATACCCTTTCAGAATCAAGCATTTTTTAGATATTTTAGGGTCATTTACCCAACCTTGATGATAGTGGTTTTAGTTCTGTTATATGACCTTGTTCATGGAACATTCTGTACTTTACAGGACAACTTTCTGATAGCTAAGGCAGCTGATGTGTTCGAAGGTCGCACCAAGCAGGTTGTTATTGAACTCAAGGTCACTAACGAAGACCGAGCATTTGCTTCAACCCTCAGCTACCACATCTCAAGGTAGGTCCAGAGGATACAGTCCACATGATGGCAGTGCCTAGGGGTTCCTAGAGGGACTGTTCAGAAGCACTGTTTGTAAACAATAGCCTGCAACGACTGATGCAAGGAATGACTTCATCAATATACCTGAGAAATGTCTGTATTGTAATCTAGGCTTTTATAAACACGCTCTTCTAATTTTTATGAAGCTGTCAGTTACTATTTTTGTAAATTATCCGTCAGTAAAACACATAGGTTTATTCTTTAATTTATATAAATCGGCTTCTGTCATGTTTTTTATTCTGATGTAAAACATGACAGAAGCTAATATTTGTGTTGTCAGCTTTGCTCTGTGCAGCTCTGTTCTTATTATGCAGGCTTGCTGACTTGGTTGACACATGTCATCGGTTCCCAATTGCACATATCGATGCTCATGCTGCTGCTCACTGGATTGTCTGGTCCATACTCGATTATTTACAGACCGCCACCATAGCTTAGTGTGGTGTAGAACTAAACTCACTCACTCACTATTGTTGTTGTGTGAGAAGTGAAGGTGTAACAAAGTTATTTAATGTACAATTTAAAATCCCCAAAGAATCATATATGCACTATCCCTTTAATGGCGTGAGATCTTGAGGCTAGGACACACGTCATTGCAGTATCCGATAGTAGTTTCTGTTTAGTTATCAGTAACTGAGAGTTGAGAATAAAATGTGGATGTTCTGTTTCCAGACGGTTTGTTGAGGCAGGCCTGCCTGACAACAGCATTGTGCTAAAACTGACGGGGTCCGGAGGTCAGAGCTTCTGTGCCTTCTTGGCTAAAGGCGTCCACGTGACACTGGAGGGAGATGCCAATGATTATGTCTGCAAGGTGAGTAGACAGATGTCAGGGATCAGTGTGAAGATTATTATTATGTCTCACAATATCATATTGCTAGGAACCGCCTCCGTGGTGTAGTGGTTAGGGCGTCCGCTCGGAGAGCAGAAGGTCGCGGGTTCGATCCCCACCACGTCATACAAAAAGGTTCCATCCTTGTTGGTCCTGCCTGGCGTTCATACAACAAAGAGGAGTCAGTATAATGTGTAAAATATGGTATTTGTTGGTCCCTGCCTAGCACTATAAAACCAGCTTAAGTCTGGGCTAGTACAAGGCATTCATGGGTACAGGAAATATTCTCCAGCTAGGTTAAACCAAATTTCACCTCACCCACTTCATATTTTCTAGTGGTTAAAGCGCATTGGCTCATCACGCTGAAGACCGGGTTCGATTCCCCACATGGGCACAGTGTGTGAAGCCCATTTCTGGTGTCCCCCGCCATGATATTGCTGGAATATTGCTAAAAGCGGCGTAAAACTAAACTCAGTCAGTGATATTTCTAGGGCAGGGCAGGGCAGAGTAGGGTGTAGTAGTCCATGTATGTCATTAGGCAATAAATGAGTATCTGGTGGCTCCAGTGTGATCTGGTTCATTGTGTATCACTCCAGTCCTATGTTAATGATCTGCAACTAAAATAGTTCATGTGGCCCAGACGTAAATATTGCCAGGATGCTGTTCCGACAAGATTGAATTATAGATGACAACCAAAGGAATAAACATTGTCCTAGAGCCTTGTTAGTTTGAAGGTGTTTTGGGTTGGTCAAAGTTTGTGATACTGACAATTGCTGAAAGCAGCATAAAAAGTCACCGAAATTTGCGATTTTGGTTTTGAGACAAGATGACATGTTGAAACTATTTTTAGGGTCTGTCTGGAGGTGAGCTTGTCATCTTCCCACCCAAGGATATGCCAGCCAGCTTCAAGTCTGAAAACAACATCATTGTGGGCAACGTGTGTCTGTATGGAGCCACATCGGGCAAGGCCTACTTCCGAGGCCAGGCAGCAGAGAGGTTCTGTGTGAGAAACTCGGGGGCTGTCGCTGTCTGTGAGGTGAGATGCCATCATGTCTTTCACTTCCTTGTGTTATGGAATATAATGTATATGGGGGATTGTAACTGTGTGGAATCATACCTCTTCTTTCCTGAACCTTTTGTAGTAGTTGTATTGGAGGGGCGTACTGGAAGGGTTCTATTCCTAAGACTGTACAAGTACTCTGGTTGTAATGGGGGCTCTTGTTTGGGAGACTTACAAGTACTGGTTGTATTGAGGGGTAGGGTGGTGGTTCTATTCCACAGTGTTGTGTTATGTAGTTGTTCTGTAGTAAGTATTGGGGTTGGTGTTCCAGGGTTGCGGAGACCATGGCTGTGAGTACATGACGGGAGGTCGGGTCATTGTCTTGGGTCTCACCGGCCGAAACTTTGCTGCTGGAATGTCAGGTGGCATTGCCTATTGCTATGACAAGTAAGTTTGTTTTGCAAACAATTTAGATCATTAGATCATTGTGACAGTTTGAATATAGCCAAAGTCACATCCACTGCCTTGAGTCACCTACAAGTCTGATGACACGTGGTGCTTCTGTTCCAGAATCAAGAGGTTTGACCAGCTCTGTAACCAGGAGTCAGTGTCTCTTGAATCTCTCTCAGCCGCGGATGCAACATTTATGGATGAGACTCTCCGAGATTTTGTTGACAAGACTGGATCTGAGCTGGCCAAGAGCATCCTTGACAACTGGAGCGAAGAAAAACAACATTTTGTTAAGGTCAGCATCCACTAGTATAGTCCACATTCTGGACAGGGAGAAATTACCAAGGGAGGTAATATTGTGATTTCAGTGCTTTGCTCAGTTGTGTCCCTTTGACTGTTTACAATGTTGTCATTATTCTCTAAAATAACTTGCAGAAGTTGAATTTAGATGTGAGTTTGTGTTTCAATTTCTTTAATCCAGGCTACAGTGTAGATGTAAGACAAACAATATGACAGCTCACATTTATTCCCTCATGACTCACTGTTGTTCTGTGACCACCAGGTGTTCCCCCATGAGTTTCGACGAGCTCTGAAGGAACAGGAACAAGAGCAGACTGAGATGAGGAGGCAGGAGAGACCAATCATCAATGGGAACATTGAGGAGGATCAGACATCAGAGGACACAACTGACTCCCAGGTACACATCATGGTTAATACTTCTGATTAATACTTCCTTTATTGATAGGTATGTTAATCAATTTAGGAATCGAGAATTTTCCATTCTGTTGAATGAAAGATTTGTTTAAATTGTTTAACATATCTTTGGGTGAAATTATCAGGTGCAGTAGAAATCTGCTGATGCTGCCATGGCAACTGAAGGTGTACATGCTCTGTCTCTGAGATCTTCAGGTGGTAACAAAACCATGCTTGTCTGCCGTATTCCAGATAGTGAAAAGTGAGAAAGTCGTGGACATCGAGTCTGCCATTCCTGACTCCACCATGGAACAGAAGAACCTGGAGCGTGTCCTGGACAAGACTCGGGGCTTCGTCAAGTACAAGCGGGCCACATACCAGTACAGGGATGCCACCAAGAGATTCCAAGACTGGGAGGAGATCTTTGATCACAAGCAGGTCAAGAATGGTCTCCGAATGCAGGCGGCCAGGTGAGTATCCATGAATACCGAAACTTCTTAATTAAACATAGTCATCCAAAATTGGATCTTTCTGTAACATTGCAAGACGGATAGTTCCTGAGCACATTTGACAAATATTATGTAAAAAAAATTGTATATTTTGCCAAACATGCTCGATAAGATGTAGCAAAAATTTATAGCTGTGTCCTACGGTTCCAATCAGAGAAGTTCTAAAGTTTATTTGACGACATTTTGCACAGGCAATGTCCTCCCTGTAGTTCCACCATTAGCATCTATACTGAGAGCACCAACAAATGAGGTGTTCCTCGTTTCAGGTGTATGGACTGTGGTGTGCCGTTCTGCCAGTCCGACCATGGCTGCCCCCTCGGTAACATCATCCCCAAGTGGAACAATCTTGTCTTCCAGGTCAGTCATCTACAGCAGACGTGGAGGGGGGAAGTTATTCAGGATGCTTGCAGTGGATCTGAATTCTTTATAAAATTATCAACATCCGTCTTACATATTGAACTGAAAATTTGTGTTAAAACATTTGTAATGTTGAACTATATTAGCACCATATTGTTGTTATGTTCCTTTGCACCTGGCAAGTGCAAACTATGCCAAGAGACAGGGAAAACTATATATTCATATTTGTTTTTGGTGCGTGTGTCAGTGTGTCTGTTTTGTCCAACTGACCAAGTTATTCCTGTGTGAACAGAACAAGTGGAAGGAAGCCCTGGATCAGCTTCTCCAGACAAACAACTTCCCCGAGTTCACAGGCCGAGTTTGCCCAGCTCCATGCGAGGTATGTTTTCACACTATTTACTCTCAAAGATTGCTCCAAGAATAGGCTGAGATGACACAAGCTGATGGAGGCTGTTTACCATTGTACATTTGATTTTTCATATCACTTTAGGGCGCCTGTGTGCTTGGCATCAACGCACCAGCTGTGACCATCAAGAACATTGAGAATGCCATCATTGATCATGGGTTCGAGCAGGGATGGATCAAACCCGAGCCTCCAGCAAACCGGACAGGGAAGAAGATCGCCATTGCTGGCAGTGGGCCAGCTGGACTTGCTGCTGCCGCCCAGCTAAACAAGGTAAAGTGAGGGGAAGCAGTCTACTGGAATGTGAGAATTTCAGAGCCCCAAAAGATTGGGGAAAAGATGATTAAGATAAGTGATTTGTGTGTTATACCCTCATGGCCTGGGTTGCATTCGGCTACTGGTCCATTTTGTAAGACAGTCATCGCTGACCTTGGCCCGACCCTTATATGTAAACAGACTTTGTTGTTTAATGTCGCACTCAGCAATAGTCCAGCTATATGATGGTGGTCTGTAAATAATGGAGTCTGGACCAGACAGTCCAGCGATTGACATCATGAGCATCAATCTACACAGTGAGTGAGTGAGTTTAGTTTTACGCCGCACTCAGCAATATTCCAGCTATATGGCGGCAGTCAGTAAATAATCAAGTCTGGACCAGACAATCCATTGATCAACATCATGAGCATCGATCTACGCAGTTGGACATGTGTCAAACAAGTCAGCAAGCCTGACCACCCAATCCCAGTTAGTCGCCTCTTACGACAAGCATGGGTTACTGAAGATCAATTCTAACCCGGATCTTCACGGGTATCAATCTACACAGTTGGGATACAGTGACATGTGTCAACCAAGTCAGCAAGCCTGATCACCCAATCACTTCAGTCGCCCGAAGACCAATTTGAATTCTTAAATGATGAACTCAGAATTATGAGTACTCTAGCTTTGTCATTGCTTTGTGAAATGGGCTTCTGGTGTATCTGATCCAAACTCAAATATGCTGGGCTATTCATTCCATGAATACTGTTGTGTTTCTGTATTGGCCAGTGACACAATCCCCTTGTGTTACAGGCTGGCCACACTGTCACTGTGTACGAGCGGAATAACCGTGTAGGGGGTCTGCTGCGCTACGGAATCCCCACCATGAAATTATCAAAAGAGGTAGGTTGATTTCAGTCAGATCCATCTTGAATTTCTGACTTGTTGGTGACAAAGGGAGTTAGCTTTTTATCCTTCTGTCTGTCAACATTGTAAATTTGAAATTACCATTTTGTAAAATTGTTTTATGTCAGAACCTTGTGTTAGATGAATCTGGTGATTTGATCAATGAGACGGTTAAAAACAAAAAAATATTCATCTCTGCCATTGTCAGAGTTTTATAATTAAAAGATACATTTGTCATTATTTTTCTTATGCAATTGCTGATGAATTCAGTCAGCACATGATCAGTGAGTACCCTGGGCTTGATTCCCTGTAGGTTGTCCAGCGGCGTGTGGATCTGATGGCTGCTGAGGGGATCACCTTTGTCACAGACACAGAGATTGGGAAGGATGTGCCTGCTGCTGAACTGATGGAGCAGAATGATGCTGTACTCCTAACCCTTGGGGCCACGTGGCCCCGAGACCTGCCCATTCCAGGTGAGTCGCGACCTCCAGACATGCCCTCTCCAGGTGAGTCGCGACCTCCAGATATGCCCATTCTTGTCGAGTCCCAACTTCTAGATGTGCCCATGCTGAGTGAGGAAAAAAACCCACTTCTGTTCATGCTCAATGGATCGTGACCTTATCTGACATAACCAGAGGAGCTATGACCTTGATATCTACCAAACAGGGAAGTGCTGACCTTCAGTCAATTCTGGAAGAGACATGACTTAAATATATATGCTCAAACCTAAGTGACTTGCAACCACCATGTCATGTGATATTTAGGAATCTGATAAGTGTAACCTGTGACTGCAGGCCGCGATCTGGAGGGCATCCACTACGCCATGAACTTCCTGGAGACATGGCAGCAGAAGCAACATGGGACTGAACTGAACAAACCAGCCCTGGATGCCAAGGGCAAGAACGTGATTGTCATTGGTGGTGGAGACACTGGCAACGACTGCATTGGAACATCCTTGAGACAGGTCAGACAGAAGCTTGAATAGTTAACCCATCAGACATATATAGTAAGATGCTTGGACAGTAGGCCAGTCAGAAATACAATCACTTTTATAGTAGAATTATGGGATTACCTGGTTGTACAACAAATACGCCTTGCGATTGTGAAACTGATATCAGCTGTGTTCTGCTATTCCTCTACTGTGTTCCAGGGAGCCAAGAGTGTTATATCATTTGAGATCCTGCCAGTACCGCCACCCTCTCGAGCAGAGAGCAACCCCTGGCCGACGTGGCCCAAGATCTTCCGGGTGGACTATGGACACGAGGAGGTGAAGGTCAAGTTTGGGCGTGATCCGCGCATCTACAACATCAAGAGCTCTGTGAGTTGAACATTTGTGTTTCCTACAAAAGAATGAAAGTTATAAACTTGTGAAACTTTCGCTTGACACAAGGAGAGGACAGGTGTGAATTCTTGTCATGCCTTTAACGTGATAGGGAATCAGGGTGACAGTACTAGTAGAATGTCCCATCTTTCAGGTTTCCAGGGTGACAGCTAAGTAGACACATGACAATATTTCAGAGCTTCATCGATGACGGGCAATGGTCATGTGAAGGGCATCAACACTGTTCTGGTGGAGTGGAAGAAGGATGATGCTGGACGCTGGCAGATGGCCGATGTTCCTGGTCAGTCCATCTATATTTCTCACATCTTCATTTGAATACTGCTAGCTGCTTAATGTCTGTCAGTCAGTCTTTCCATTCAACAGGTCTAGCATGAAACAAGCTTTTTCTAACTATAAGCTGTTACCTTGTACCAGGCATAAAGCTGCAACACTGATGTAAACAAAGTCGGGCTAGTATTCAGAATCTCCATCATGGTTTGTCCTTTCAGTTGGAGTTGTTAGCATTTTCACAGCTCACCAAGCATTTCTATCTTAGACACTGCTGTAGGAAAACACCTACTTTCAGACTGGTAGATTTCTGTGAAATGTTCATAGTAGGAGTGACACTGAAGAGTTGTAGGTCTGTAGTCTGACTTTATCCATGTGTGTGTTGCAGGCTCGGAGAAGGTGTACGAATGTGACATGGTGATGCTAGCTATGGGTTTCCTTGGACCAGAGAGGAAGATTGTGGATGAGCTGTCAGTAAAGCTGGACCCTCGGGGCAACGTCAACACACCACGGAACAAGTACTCCACCAGCATCCCCAACCTCTATGCTGCTGGAGGTAGGGATACTTGCATTGCAAATTCATAGCATGTTGAATTCTAACACCATAATGCACTGGGTTTTTTTTATTGACCTCAAATAGCTTCTTCTTGCAATAACACATCCTTGCTTTCTGCCTCAGATTGTCGCCGAGGTCAGTCCCTGGTGGTGTGGGCTATCACAGAAGGTCGCCAAGCAGCCCGACAGATTGATGCTGATCTTGAGGGGCAGACCAGTCTGGCTGGGCCAGGGGGTATTGTCCATTCCAACTGATGTCCAAGAAACGCTGTTGAGTGAACCGATGAGAACAGGCTACCTGTAGAGTGGGAAGGAGGAAGAGAGATGAAGGACAAGGTGGTATTTGGAGGTCAAGGCCATCTGATGACCTGAGGTCCGTGACCTTGATGACACAGATCAGACATTCCGAATGTCCTGGGCATTAAAATGGAAAACACTTTCACGTGAACAATGAATATAATGTTTGTATTGATCAAGGATGTATAGCATTGAACAGGTTTGTGTATCAACTGTTAATGTTTTTACCGCAAAAAGGTGAATTGACAGATGGCCATGTTATCATGGAAAATGGATCTGTCACACTTGTGTCTTTCATAACACTCAAGATCTGTTTTAGTTGGTATAGCCTGTTCATTGTTCAGGAATTGAAGGAAGTTGACAGATCTGAAGTGAAGACGATTGTCAGTAATTGATACTGGTTTCAGAAAACTTGCATCTCTGATGAGAAGCAGGACAAATCTTAATTATGTATCAAGAACCCTAATCAGAAACATTCTATTTGTTGTTAAGAACATCACTTACTGTTGTTGATGCTGTTGTTGTTGTTGTTCATTACAAAGCCAGAGATGTTTAGAACACAGATTGAGATTTGACAGGGAAAGCAGATAATGCAATTCATCTCGCTCACATGTACATATCATGTACAGTACATTCTTGTGTGTCTATATGTGATACTTAGACTCCTGCATGCATGTACATGTCGTGTACATCTCACTCTGGCATGGTTGTACATGTCGTGTACATCTCACTCTGGCGTGGTTGTACATGTCGTGTACATCTCACTCTGGCATGGTTGTACATGTCGTGTACATCTCACTCTGGCGTGGTTGTACATGTCGTGTACATTTCACTCTGGCGTGGTTGTACATATCGTGTACATCTCACTCTGGCATGGTTGTACATGTCGTGTACATCTCACCCTGGTGTGGTTGTACATGTCGTGTACATCTCACTCTGGCATGGTTGTACATGTCGTGTACATCTCACTCTGGTGTGGTTGTACATGTCGTGTACATCTCACCCTGGTGTGGTTGTACATGTCGTGTACATCTCACTCTGGCGTGGTTGTAGATGTCGTGTACATCTCACCCTGGTGTGGTTGTACATGTCGTGTACATCTCACCCTGGCGTGGTTGTACATGTCGTGTACATCTCACTCTGGCATGGTTGTACATGTCGTGTACATCTCACTCTGGCATGGTTGTACATGTCGTGTACATCTCACTCTGGCGTGGTTGTAGATGTCGCGGTACATACACCTGGCACTCTGGCGGTTGCATGTACATGTCGGGTACATCTCACTCTGGCGGTTGTACATGTCGTAGTACATCTCACTCTGGCATGGTTGTAGATGTCGTACATCTCACACTCTGGCATGGTTGTAGATGTCGTGTACATCTCACTCTGGCGTGGTTGTACATATCGTGTACATCTCACTCTGGCGTGGTTGTACATGTCGTGTACATCTCACTCTGGCATGGTTGAACATGTCGTGTACATCTCACTCTGGCGTGGTTGTACATGTCATGATGATCATGTTCGTGAAACATCATCAGCAAGTGACACAGAGGAGAATGGTGCATGTGATATTTTTGAACAGGAAAGCTTGAAAACAATGTGTTGAAAAGTGGCAGAGGTAGATATTTGTGTTTTAGTGGGATAGAGATACCTTGAGTGAGATAACATCTCTCCCAGTGATAGTATGATGGGATAGTTCCCAATAAGTGTAACATGTATTTGTGTTTGTTTTAGGTTTTTGACAATGGAAACCCATGGGGCCATGTGTACATTATGTAAGTGGTCAAGATAACTCTCATTTGTCTTGACTTTGTGTTTGTATTTGTGAATGTTAAAGCCAGAAGTGTGCACTGCATATTTTTGTGATGAAGCAAACAGATCCTAAGTGTCTAGCAGTAGTATCCTTGATTCTGGGATCCTGCTAGGCTATATGGCTCCAGCCTGGGATCCTGCTAGGCTATATGGCTCCAGCCTGGGATCCTGCTAGGCTATATGGCTCCAGCCTGGCATCCTGCTAGACTATATGGCTCCAGCCTGGGATCCTGCTAGGCTATATGGCTCCAGCCTGGGATCCTGCTAGGCTATATGGCTCCAGCCTGGGATCCTGCTCAGCTATATGGCTCCAGCCTGGGATCCTGCTCGGCTATATGGCTCCAGCCTGGGATCCTGCTCAGCTATATGGCTCCAGCCTGGGATCCTGCTCATCTCTGGGATCCATGCTCGACTATATGGCTCCAGACTGGGATCCATGCTCAGCTATATGGCTCCAGACTGGGATCCTGCTCTGCTATATGGCTCCAGACTGGGATCCTGCTCGACTATATGGCTCCAGACTGGGATCCATGCTCAGCTATATGGCTTCAGACTGGGATCCTGCTCGGCTATATGGCTCCAGCCTGGGATCCTGCTCAGCTATATGGCTCCAGCCTGGGATCCTGCTCGACTATATGGCTCCAGACTGGGATCCTGCTCGACTATATGGCTCCAGACTGGGATCCATGCTCAGCTATATGGCTTCAGACTGGGATCCTGCTCAGCTATATGGCTCCAGACTGGGATCCTGCTCGACTATATGGCTCCAGACTGGGATCCATGCTCAGCTATATGGCTCCAGCCTGGGATCCTGCTCGACTATATGGCCCCAGCCTGGGATCCTGCTTGGCTATATGGCTCCAGACTGGGATCCATGCTCGGCTGTATGGCCCCAGCCTGGGATCCTGCTGGGCTATATGGCTCCAGACTGGGATCCATGCTCAGCTATATGGCTCCAGTCTGGCATCCTGGCTATATCACCCCAACCTGTTGATGGTTAGTTGAATGAGGACATAATCTCCCCATGTGCACATACGTCCCTGAAACACAGTACCTAGTGTGAAACATGCACTGTGTCTCTCATTGTGTTTACAGAAACAGATGCCATTGTGGCACTGTAGTTACCAAGGAAGCGTTTGCCCTTAAATACTTGTCAGACACAAACTATGCTAATAAATCACATAAGTGTCAAGCATTTTCTGCAGAGGTCTGAAGTATTCAGTTCTGATTATCATATTGGCATCCATCATGCAATGTCTGCTTAAATATTTCATGTGATGAGCAGGCGATTGCCACCTGTCAACATATCACTGTAGGTGGGATGTCTTTGTGACTTGTTTATTGTATTGACATGTCGACTGTCAGCGATGGAGGGTGTGGGGAATGTTGTACATGTACGATGAATGTCATCAGGATGTAGGTGAAGTCTGGTGGACACTGTACATTTCCTGAAATGTAGCATAGTTGTAAATAGCCACCAGTTGTTAATCAGTTACTGTTTATCTGTATAGCCTACTATTGTTATATATATCCAGGTTGAAGTTGGAACCAACATTGCTCATGTAATCACGTCACTGAAGAATAAAATATACTTCATGATGATCTTGTATAAATTCCAGTTTCTTAAACAGACAATATTAAGTATAATAATATACATCAGTTCTACATACACTTAATGACATGTACAGGTCAAACTATTCCAGGCTTCCAAAATACTTTACACTGCATTCACAAGACGTGTCACGGCTATGTAAGGCAAGTTTCTACAATAAGTATACTGAAAAGCAATGGCTAAGCTGTTTGTAAAGCTTTATTCCCTCTCAGGGTACAACAGATACAACACAGTTAGAGCACTGACAGCAGGGAGGTGATAAATGTAAACTCACTCACTCCTGAAAACTAAAGGATACAAATCAAGCTGCTTTAGCACCATGGCACCTGTCCTGTTAATTGTAGCCTTTGTTACACTGCCAAAATATCTGTTGAGTCCCTGTCTAGCTCCTCTTTTATCAATATCAGTGTGTTGAGAACATGGACAGCAACTTCAGAATGGTGTCCATAATGTCATGATGATAGTCAGATAGTACACAAGAAAAGCATCAATGGTTACGATTTTGTTTTGTTGTCATTTTTAATCAATGGAAATCCTGTGTCAGTCAGTTGAATGTTTTCAAGCCTGTTATATTCTCACAGCTGCATCCATCCCTCCCTGTTGTATTAGGAAGAGGATGCAGAACATGAGTTACTTAACTGGTGAGATCGGAGATTCAGTGGAGCTAAGGTCTATCAATGCCCTTCAGAATGTGGATGTCCACTCATCGAGGAACACAGGAACTTCCCATGGTTGTTTCCTCACATTTTAGTTTGTTGTGCCATAATAACTTACTGTTGAGTGTCATTCATTGAAATATGGTTCTGTGATTTGTATTTTATAAAAGTGCTTTTTAAAGACATTTGTACTTTATCGTATAATTTTAGAGATATTTTTCCTTCTGCTTATCAGGTCAGCTGATCTGTATTTTACTTATGTGCTTGCTACTTTTGGTAGTTTTCAGTGAAAGTTAAAAAAAAGGAAGTAGTTCTTTTTTTACCCTGACAGATAGAAGCAGCAAATGTATGTGTTCCTTGACTGACTCATCAGTGATGGTCAGCTCTGCCTACCTAGAAGACGGACATAGTGACAGGTGGAAACAGATAAGTGACATCTTTGTATGAACACCTGTCATTGGTTTCTGATGTCACTGTCATATGCTATATACAGAGCTGCCTGCTACTAACTTCAAACTATGGCAGTTTATCATGTCACGTATCCCTCAAGGTGATATATAAGGGTACAGCCTGTTTGCTCTTTCTCTGCTAGACTTAAGTTTCTCTGTATGACTCACGAATATTTATATTCATTTGATTTTATTGGTTGGTTTGATGATGATGATGATGATGATGATGATGATGATGATGATGATGCGTGCTCCTCCTGTGATGGTCTCCCCATACACAGGGTTGTAATTACCACTGTACAGTCTCAAGCATGGAGGCTGCTGCTGCTGGTGTATGCTGTTGACCAAATCTTCCTGTCAATAAACATGTTCAACCTCAGCTTGTGTGTGTTATTGTACTGTTTGGGGAATCAGGAGGAGAATGCCATTATGTAATGTATGGTGTAATGTCAGTGACGGAGAGGTAACTTGGGAGACGAGTGTTAGACTCATACATGTTTGTGTTATTTGGGATGCCTTTAGTTCTAGTATTTAAATCTTTTGGCTCAGAAAATATTTACATTTAAATAATAGAAGGAATTGTTATCCCAGGATTGTATCACTATGAAACAACTATGAGTTTGAGCCCAAGTGTGTACTGCCTCGCTGTGCCTGTCCGTGCCTTGCTGTGCCTATCGTGCCTGTCTGTGCCTTGCTGTGCCTCGTTCAGCCAATGTGTGGAGGGTCCGGATAAAGACTACAATACGATGGGGGTTGGTGTCATGGCAAAAAAGTTTGAGTTTTAAGATTGTTTTAGAACATTGCAAGCTTGATCCTGTAGTTAATTCTCCTACGTACTCAGTAGGGGATTCAAGATAACAGGATTTTAGGAATCCATGCAGGCCATTAGACTGTCAGACAACTCAAAGGGCTCATAATGTCAATCCTCAGTTTGTCGGGTCCAGATCTGTTTATTTCCAGGCTGCAATATTGTGAGTGTTACATTTACCAAAGAAACAAGTAATTAAGAGTAACTTCTCACCTCAGCGTGAAGTGTTGGGGTGTTGCATGCTGTGTCGGTATAAGACACTGTGTCTGTAATACTATAGAGACCGGGCTGAATTAAATTACTTCACAATTTGTCTTGGGAAACGGTATGCTGTTTAGACTTTTGGATTCGTAAAGGTAGTGAGTTGTCACTAAGCCCGCACTAGACAAAACAGACACAGTGACAAACGCGTACGCGAAAGAAATACACGTCCTGTGGAAGAAATACGGCGCATGATTCCTGCTCTTGATGTTGCGTAAACATATTTGTGGCATTCTGTGCTATGTGTTATTTTTCTGTTTACACTTCTAATTATGTAGGACGCTGGACAATCGTGCACATGCATTCGAATGCTCCTTGTAGTTCTGACATGGTCAACAGGTGTTGTTCAAGGGAGATAATTCGTGCGGCCTTGTTCAAAGTGTACATCGTCAACCTGGGCACAAATAGTTGATACATGACCATGTGGCATCACTCGCCCAATCGCACCAGTCTTAAAATCGCACGGTGCACGAGTAGGGTTTCTTTACATATTTTTAAGAATAAGAAGGCTCTAGTGGTAGACGGTATATGTACAGGTTTGGGGCTGAATGATTCAGCTTTTAAACTTCCAAACTAGAATTTTATGACGCTTCACCAATCCGGGTTTGATTTCAACAAGCAACTCTT